CTTCCATGGGCTCTGCTGGCTCCAGGGAAGTGCTCCGCTCCCTCGCCCTGATCCAGGGGAGCGGAGCACTTCCCCAGAGCCAGCGGAGCCCATGCCAGCCTCCGACCCCCAGGCCCCTTCAATAAGTGTCCCACGCTGGACCAAGGCGGCACGCTCACAGACCGCTACTCCTTAAAAGGAACATTGGTAGACCCTTTCGGCCATTTCAACTATCCATGTCAACAGTCCCATTTGAAAATGGTCTCTAATTTAATAATTATGTCCACTAGTTTTCATGCTGTTTCATCAGAGCTCTGTACCACATATTTTAATAGAAAAAAAAAGTGTAATTCCATTTTTCAAGCTTAAAAATGCTGGCATTCCTGTTGTGTCCCTTTCTTTTCTGATTAATTTGATAAGCACTTTGTCCTAACTTCCACCCTTTCCACCATGAACTGTATCAGCTCTACTAATCTGAGCATGATACTTTCACCTCACTCCAAAAGGCTAAACCTTGGAACAGGCAAATCAACTGAGCAATGAAAATAAGATCAGTGAACCAAGCAGAAGTTCATTCTGAAAAGAAAAAGCTAGTTGCCCTAAAAATTTAGTAGGAACTTTGCTGATGCTATTAATTGTATTTGGAAGGTGCATGGATACTTTGGTCTTTAACAGTAGACTCACGACACATGCTGGCATATGGTATTTCATATTAAATTTTTTAGGGACCCACAAATATGCACTGAGATTTAAGATTAAGAACTTCAAAGGAGATTAAAGAAATAAAGCAGCCAGATTCTAGAGAGAGTTAGGTACCCAAGTCTCTCATCCCAGCCAGAAACCCCAAGGTACCATGATGACACATACTATCTAAGAATAATAGACATATGAATAAAGATGATTACCATAATGGCTATCCATCTCTCTTCTTTTGTATCCTTGACTGTCTCTGTTTACAAAATTTGTTTTTTTATTTCTTTTTCTCTCTTTGCCTTTTTCTGTCTTGATTCTTATTTCTCAGTTCATTCATGTAGTTTCATAGGTACTTCGAACTGGTAACTGACACATCAGTAATTCTCAGAATAAGTGTTTATTCTTAGAAGCTAGTTCTCTCTTAATTGGTTGACTGTCTGTGGAAGATGTTTCAGAATCATGCCACTATTTACTTGCTTAAAATAGAAGGGCTAGATTTGCAATTGATGTAGTGTGCTCTAGCCTTTTTACTACCAGGGACCTAAGTTCAAATCATGGCTTTCTGACACAACTTCTTAACCTTTGAAAGCTTAATATTGTTGCCACCACTTAAGCCAAGTATGTGTATTTAGATGTAGGACCATGTTGGCAAAGTAGGTGAAGACTTGTCATAACATCTGTTCCTGCATCTGTAGTTGCACTGAATTTGCCTGCAGTTAATAAAGACAACCTAAAATAGCGGCAATACTAGTTTTGGATTGTTTTTGTTTAGTGTTTTTCTTTGGTGCTTCTTTGACTGAACAAAATATTTTAAAGTTTTAAGCAATATGTTATCAACTTCATGAATGATTTTTGCAAATTTGTAATAAGGATCTCATACCATTTTTAGTAGGACCTCTGTCTGTGGCTTTGCTTTGTTTTGGTTTTTTGCACAATTCTGTAATTCATTTTTTTTAAAAAGCTATAGGGATGTGAAGGACTAGACAAGTTCCGTTATTCTTTATAAAATGCCAGTATAGTTTCTTCGGGCAGCTGTCTGTTTCTTAAAAATATTTATCTGTTCAAAGATGCACCTGGGCTGTGGAGCATGGAAGTACTATTGACACTTTAAAATAAACAGCATTTTAACAGTTCACTGTATCTCTGGAGAAAATAAGTTTTTCATTTCTTCCTTCTACTACACCCTAAAAAAGAAAAAGTCAAATGAACATAGGGGAGACATGCTCTAAAAATAGTTGTCTTTAACTGGTATATGCTGAACTGCTAACTGCTGTGAATTCAAAATTGCCTCATTGATACATCTGTATTTTAAGGCTCTTGCTTTTTCCTGTGGTAGAAAGCTGAGTGGTGAAGTGTTAAAGGCGCCATTATTAGTCTATTGGAATAAATACAAACTTTCCTTGCATCAGGTTAGAGGTGCCAAAAATATGGCCTGTAGACTGTATCTTTTGACATCACTTAACGCTACCACCGTTCACAATGCTGCTGGAGGTGGGTCCAGACATGGCTTTCAAAGTTCCTCGTAGTCCAGATCCAACCCATGAAGAGCCCTTGTGTATGGGTTCAGCCTAGGGAACCTAGGGAGTTAGACACTCCTGCTTTAGTTAATGCATTAGTTTTAATTTTAGCTAAACCCTATAGATTGTAACTGGTACAAACTGACTTGAACCATATTTTGGTTTGGACTAAAGTGCACGTATTATCTCATGGCAGTTGGTAGAAAAAAGTAAGGATGCAAGATGTCCTGGCCTGTGTTTCTTATGAATAATAGAATATGAATATATTTTATCTTGGAGCCTGAAGATCACGAACCATCAAATACAAATATTCATATTCTTGTTTGTGATGCGTCTGTCTGTTCTTTCCACTAAAATGTTGTTTCTGTCATGTAATTATTTATATGGTGCAGTAAGTGGAGTAGCATTCTGTGGATAGAAAATAAAGCTTGGACCAGATTTCTGGTCATGTCTAATACTGATAGTAGAAGTAGAGATGTTACATTGGGGAGATTAGTGAATAACATGGGGCAGGGAGAGTGTTTTTGTTTCCAGTGAATTATTCAGTGAACTCTGCATTGCGCTTAAGAGTTGTCATAACCTTTTTTTTTATTATTTAAACTCATCTTGGCATAAGTATACTTGTCAGTCAAACTGAACAGTCTGTACATTTTTCTGGTTTGATAGAATTTAAACTAACATGGATAGAATGATGGAACAGAGAAAGATGCTTTCTTCTTCCCTGAGCTATCATCAGTTAATGAGTTGCAGAAACAATAGATATTATTCCGTAAAAAAACACCAGGTAGGGTTTTAGTTGCCTCGTTCTAACAGATATATTGTGGTTGCACAGCTATCCAGGACAAAACTGAGTAACAGTTTTATAGAAACTATAATTTGATTTGTTTCTACAGTGTGTACCAGGCCATAAAATGGCTTTGAACAGGGCTTGTGTTTCACAGTTCATGTGACTTCATCTGGTGTCGCATTTTTGGTATTCATCTGACGATACAACAGTTTGACAGGCTAACATCAAAGTTGTAACATCACTATTCCTCAAGCGCACTTAAAATAATAAAGCTCTAAGAAAATTTACGGTAAAAATAGAGACCACAAACTTCAGGGTGCTTGGGTCTGGTGGTAGTGTTTGAATTTGCAAACTGAAAAAATATAAAACTTCTACTCTTAAATTTGTGCCAAATGTTGACTATTATTACTATAAACATACTCACAAATACTGTTCTACAAAAATGGTTACAAACATTGTGGATCCTTGTTAGTAACGGTTAAGAGAATCTCTGATGGTATGATAGAGGTGTGTGCGCTTTTTCTGGCTAGGCTTGACAACTTTTTTTCTCCCGCATGCCATTCAGAAGAAAATAATCTTTCTTGAAGAAAGAGAGATTCTTTCTTAAGAATCCATGTAGTCTGCTTTATACCACATCCATATTTATTTTACAGTTGGTTCAGAAAGTTGAACCTTGTATGTAAAAAGTTAAGTGGAGAGTTGATTGCACAAAAAGTTTTAATCAATTGTTTCCTTCATTTAAGAGTAACGTATCTTGCTATGCTGTCACAGACCCTTCTGCATCATACCCTCAGAGTCCAGAGTTTCTTCTCCTCGTTGTCCTGCTGTTTGTCCCAAGGAACAGATCAGGGTTTGCCCTGGGATGACTCCTTATCCCTGCAAGCCTCATCACCCCTGCCCTTACACAGGACCCCACGGCGACGAGCAGGGAATCTGCCAGCTCCAGGTGGTTCCCCCTGAGTTGTTAGAATTTTCAACTTCGAGGTTCACCTTTCCATAGACTGGGTTAGCCTGGAATATCACTTGCTCCAAGATCACTCTTTACCACAGGTAGTTGGTAAGGAGGCAGAACAATAAAAGGATGGGGCAGGGATGTCAAACCCATCTGTCCCTAG